TTTCGTAACCTGGTCATAAAAAGAGACTAGATTAGTCAGGCATGATCTGCCTGCTATGAACCCGTGCTGGTTTCCCTTCAGCATAATTTGTCCTGCTGGGCTCTCGCAAATGTGAGCCTTGATAATTTTTTCAAAGACTTTGCCAAGGATGGAGGTGAGACTGACTGGCCTATAGTTGCCCGGGTCCTCCTTCCTCCCCTTCTTGAAGATGGGGACCACATTGGCCCTTTTCCAGTCCTCCGGGACTTTGGCCGTGTGCCACGAGCGTTCAAATATTCCCACCAGTGGCTCTGCAATGATGTCAGCCAGTGCCTTCAGCACCCTCGGATGGAGCTCATCCGGGCCTGCCGACTTTAAGGCATCCAGTTCTTCCAAGTGACTCTGCACCATCTCAGGGTCTACGCATGGTAGTCTGGTGCCTTGCTGCTGCCTCAATTAATGAATGCTGTCACCAATTAATGAATGTTGTAGATGTTTGCTTTTTAGAATATAATTTGATATTTTTCTGGTTCCAAGATGGCAAAACCCCTTGCTGAACAGAGTACTTCCAGGGGCAAAGGTCAGGGGTTAGGGGGCAGGCTCCTGGTCACAAGATGGTAACCAGGGGGCGGGGCACCTGTCAAGGGGCGGGGCTACCTATGCAGCCCTTGGCAGCTTGCCGTAACTTGGTAAGCAGCCCTGAGCCTGAAATAATTGCTTGCCCCTGCCTTAAGTAATATTTTTCTCTTACAAATAAAATGTTCATATTTACTATTGCAGTAATGGGGAATATATAGCTTCCAGACTAGACTCTCAACCTTTTGTGATAGTTTGGGAAGGGTGACTTAGGTCACTAAATAGCTACAGTTGCACATAAGTCTTTAAGGGGTAAGATCCTAGCTATAATATGGAAATAAATATTAATTGAGTGTAAGATTGGAAATGGTAAGTTTTGGGAAATTGCTCTGTATGCTAATTTCCATCCCTGAGACACAGTCCTTTTAATGTGTTGATTTCAATATATGGTATGGACACATTTATGACCATATCTGTCTATGCACAATGCCTTGGCTGGGTGCTGTAGTATCCTCAGTGGAACTGTGGAGAGCTCTGGCATAGAAGTCTCTGCCTACTTATGACTGGCAAAAGTGTTCTGCACTTTCCAATGACTGCTAGGCTTCTGCAGTCTCTTGTCTATGTATCAAGAATACAGGCAGTCCTCGACTTACAAAGTTTTGCACTTGCAACGTTTGTAAATTGACACCCTGTTTCAACTTTACAATGCCAGTTTTGACTTTACAACGCTTGATCCAGTGCGATGCCACGCCAGCAAACAAGTTCATTCCATCACTCATCTCCCTGGAGAACATCTGTGTAAAGAAGTGAGAGGGAGCGAACAGAAGCCCCAAGGTGTCTTACGTGCTGGTCAGGGGAGGTCAGGAGAAGGAAAGCAGCCTGCAGCAACAGACAGAGAGAATAAAAATAAGCAAAACTCACTGCATGGAGGGCCGGCAGCGCTGCAGCTGGAGACCGGAAAGGAAGGAAAATACCCACCACATTTCCAGAGTAGCATCTCACGCAGGATTGAAGGAGGGAGGCTGCCCAAAGGTATTTCCGGCCCCACAGAGGGGTAGAGAGGGGTCAGTTCCCTGCAGGCTGCAGGGAGAGGGGAGTGGCTGAGCATCCCATCCCTGCAGGCAAGGGCTGCGGAACTTGCCAGAGGAACGCCGCGGGAGTGACCCTGAGCAGGAGGCAGGTGGAGGCCTGCTCACACGCGGCGAGTGATTAATCTCTGGAGCAGAGCTGGAGCTGCAGCTGAGGATCCGGACCCCCCCTCACCCCCCCCCTCCAGAGTACAGAGCTGCTCTTCTCTGCTAAAACTTAGTGCTGGCTGTGACTGGACTACAAATCCCAGAGGCACCTGGAAGCAGGAAAAGGAAGTGACAAGCAGCCTGAGAGTCCTGCTACTGTGATTGTAGACTGCAAATCCCAGAGACCTTGGGAGCAGCAGGAAGAGTAAGCGAACACATACCCCAGGCTGTCTATAGTTCTTCAATTTATAGTTTTTCTAAGAAAGAACTATTCTTATTTAAGCTTTTATGAATTCAATGACAACACCTTCTCCCCCACACACCGCAGGCATCCTCTAGCCCCTCCCCTCTCCCCCTTTGGTTTGAGCTAGTGCAAGCATGTGGCTGCATTCCCTGAATCAAAAGTGAATGTGTGTTCATTTGCTTATCGGTTCAATCTCTGCAGCTTAACCTGTAAAGACTGAATCAATTCAGCCTCAGTCTTTTTGACTGTGTGTACTAAGCCCTTGAGACCCAGAGTTGGAATGTGCACTATTTATAATAGCAGGAATATGGGCAGTTTGTTAACAGCAATTTGAATGCTATTTGTACAGGCAGCCCAATAAAGAGGTTCTGAGTGTTGGGCTGTAAATAGATGTCTCAGTTGGCATGGGCTGATTTGTTCCAAGATGTGACCCAGATTAAAATTGGGGTAGCATAATCCTGTATACACATCACCCTTTGAAGTTGAATTGCTGCTCCTTTGCCAGTAGATGGCTAGCAAGAGTGCACAGATTGTCCCTGGAATTAACTGCAATAGCCATACAGACATACAGCAGGATATCCCAGGGAAAGTGTTAGTGTATGTTATCTGGCAAAACTCAGAAGGACTTGAAGTGGGCTAATGGACATTATGCCTGTATGATCCTGGGACAAAAGGTTTTCTCCTGGAACAAATGCAACATCTATTTGTATCCTTATTAACAAAGAGGCCCTTGATTCTAATTAACTACCAGATAGCAATTGCAGGGGTACTTGGAGTACTCGCCAAAGCTGTCATGTTACAATTGCTATTCAACTACACACTTCAGTTGCAGTCATATAAAGAATAGGAGCATGCTGATTCAGGCCATGGCAAACACTCAATTTCTGCTCTTCACAAATATTAAAGCTGAGTTCATCATCTCTCAGAAGCCTGAGGAAAGCTTGCATGGATTGCAATAATAGAGTAGAATCAAGGCAATTTATGGCATGTGGCCCCATATAGGCTTATTCCTTCCCTCCTGTCCCTTATCAATTGGAGAGAGCTGGCTGCAGGCTAACAAAAAATGGAGGTGCCCCTTCTCAGGCCTGCCTCTTTCTCTCCAAATTTTTTTTTAGTCATATTCTTGCTTTTGTCTTCCTTGTCCTACTCCTCCTGTCTCTGTTGTTTGACACTTATTTAATATCAGAAGCAATGGATTCCTTTGGAAAATACTTCTTGTCAGTGGCCACACTCTATTCGTGCAGAGTTTTGTTCCTTAGATAAGCACCGGTGTGCAATGCTTCTCACGACAGCAAGAAACACTGCAGAAGGTAATAAAATATAAAATATAACATACAAGTACTTGTGGTGTTGAGCTTGCTGTCAACCTTTTGCTACTGCATATGAAGTAAATATGAGGCCGGACTTTAAAATGCTATTTTTAAGAAGCCATTTTGTTTTCGTGGGTTTTTTTTATTTGTGATGTCATGATTTATCCAGCCACTGCATGCAATTGTATAAATATAATACATTATCCTAATGAAGAAGAGTTTTGTCAGTGGCCCCTACAATTTTTCAAATGGAGGTGCAGATCCCTTTGAATTGTAAGTGTAAGTATCTCCAGGGGTCCACAGACCACAGGTTGAAAACCACTGACCTACCTGGCTGAGCTTGGCTATTAGTAAAAGACATAGATAGTACTTGCATGAAGAAGCCGTATTGTCTCTGTGGAGAGCAGTCACAGTAGTATTTACCACCTGTCAGCCAAAAATGGCTGCTGCTTTCTGTCTGTGGCAGAGCATCACTGGTGCCTGCCACTTTAAGGGCTAGATCAAGCAGTCAGCAGGTGTTTGATTACGGCGGCCATTTTAGAACTCTGTCTGCCTATCTAAACAAGAGCAGTTTGCTGCTGGGAGGCAGGAAAGAAACATTGCCTGGCTGAGCTTCTGCATGGGAACATCTTGCAAGTAGGAGCAGGAGGTCGTGGTCCTGGGTATGACCTAAAACTGCACCCTGCCAGGAGTGGGTGGTCTGGTGGGGCTCCCAGTGGTATGGGAGCCCCCAGGAAATACCAGGCCAGTTACCACCCTGGTGAAAGGCAGGTAGGGGTGCCTTAACCCCAGCCCTCACCTTCAGGTGGGTTATATGATCCATCTAATCCAGAGAAGGCCAGGTAAGCTTCTTTAAGTGCCTGAGCCTGCTGGGGTGAGTGACCCCACAGGGCCAGGCATGCTTTGAAGCACCTGAGCTGGGATTGGGGGGACCCCGATCTCTGAGTGCAGGCAGGAGGCTTAGACCTAACCTGGGGAACCTGACTGGTCAGTGCTGGGGCCAGGACACCAATAGGGGTCAAAAGGGCCAGGGGCCCACTGTGAGGGATGCCCATATAGAGCAGAGAAGCTTGGGGTTCTGACTGGCCTGAGAAGGGGCCAGGGCTTAAAGGGAAGCTGAAGGTCCCAGGGAAGGGGCCACAGCTAATGGGCGAAGGGGACTGTTGAGTTGGCTGCCTGAGATGCCATTCGTGAGGCATGAGCTGCGATTTAGGGGTGGAACAGAGCTGTGGATAGCCCCCCAATATTGGGGTGTATAATGGGCAGCATTCTGCCTAATTATCACATCGATATTATTGCATATTATAATGCGTGGCTGACCCATAGACAGGGGGCAGGCCAGTGTTTGCACTGGGCGTGAAAGCTTGCCCCTGTCACACTATCCCGTCTAGTTTCTACATGGAGACTAATGGACGTTGCTAAACCAGTTTTGACAATCCTTTTCTCTTTGTTTAACCAGAATATCCCAAATTTAGCAAACACATTGTTTACATGTCTTAATTCCTGCCTGTTACAAGTCTCTTATTGAGTATTCTCACAATATCACCAGAGCTGGAACCACATGTTTGTGACATATGAGACAGAGTAAAAGCATCAAAGAAAGCAATCTGGTTTCAGCAAATTGGACTCTACATTTTATTGTCAAATATTATGTAGAAAACTGCAAGGGGGAGAATGATTCCAGGTATGCCTCTAACTAATGATAGGAAAAGTCACCTCTCCTTCACTAGAAGGGGCTATGTAGATGTATTCAGTGATCCTTTAAAAACAAACCAATCTAATTGACACGTACGGTTGTTCCCTTCTCTTTCTAAACATTTTGGTGATAAAGTTATGTTCACATTTTCTAAAGCTCACTCCAGTCATCTTAATTGACTGAAAGGTTAAGCACAATACTGATGATCATTGGCAACTTTTCTAGCTGATTAACTCTATCAACAAGCCTGTTATGATCTTTAATGGATGTATCCGCTGCTCTGGAATACTGGGAACAAGAAAAAGAAAAGCTTTTCTTTCTCTTTCAAAACAAGCCAACATCTGTAGCCTATGCTGAAGTGGCATGAATGGATCAAATTTATCCTTGATGTAACTTTAGCAAAGAGATGAGTGTTTTCAAGTGGTTAATAGTATTCAAGAAGGTCATCTTTGTGTATTTATTAGCCAGGTTCCATTGTAGTCCATGGGGATAAGCCACATGGAAACTTATATTAAGGCATGGCAGAAAATCTTAATTCCATTGACTGCAGTGGGGACAGGATTTCAGGTGGTGGGGTTTTTTTTGTTTTGGTTTTTTTTTTTCAGAACATGTTATTTAGCGTTACTGAGTTAATCTATTTTTAATTTTGTTCACCTCTTAAATTGTCCTTGGTATGTGTGTGTTTGTGTTTATACAAGCAGACAACTCATTTTGAGTTTGTAGCAAAATAAGACCATTTTCATAAAATATGCAATGTGCTCTCTACTACTTTTTCTCCTTGCAGAAATAAGAGACCAGCTTGTGTTCGATCCTAAAGGCAAGTAAGAAACTACTCAGGCACATATTGCCATTGGAATCAGTGACTAGTTGCATGAACAAAGTTGATCAGGGCTAGGTACAGAGAGTGAAAAAGCCTGAAGCTGAATCTGTTCAGTCTCTGCAGGTTAGTCTAAGGTGTGCTGATTGAATTGATTAGCAAATAAACACATTCACTTTTGATTCAGGAAATGCAACCACATGCCTGCAGTGGCTCAAGCCAGTGGGCACTAGAGCATGCCTGCCAGCGAAAGGGGAGTGGAGAGAGAGAGTCCTCCAAGGCTCTCACCCCTCCCTGCTGGAATGGAGGGAGCATGGCCAGGGACCAGCCTGGGGCTAGCACACTGGAGGGTGTGGGTTTAAATCTCCTCCCTGTCCCACGTGGGACTCGAGCCAGGTCTGCCTGGGTTGCGGGGCAGTGCCTGCCAGGCTTTTGCCTGTCCCTCTCCTGCACTCAGAGTGGGGGGGCAGCCACCACCAGACTGAGTGGTGGAGTGAGAAAAGGTAGTGGCACTGAATTCATAAAAGCTTGATCATAAAAGCATGAACAAGAATAGTCCTTTCTCTGATGTGAGCATGTATTGAACACAGCAGTTTGCAACCTCAAGCACATGACAGAAAAACCAAAACCTTTGCCTAAGCTAAGATACAGCCCAGTAAACACAGTGAGAGCACATGCACTTTAGTCTAACTTAAAATGGAATGTAATACACCAAAAAGACAAGATAAGCCCACTCCCTTCTCCCTATGCCTCAGGAAGTAAGCTGGGCTGGCATCTGGCCATGCCCCCAGCCCTACTCTGGCTAGAGAGCAGAGGGACAGGGCCACCAGCCCTGCTCTCTGGAGCAGACAGCACAGCCCAGCCCTAGGGCTGAAAAGCATGCTGGGATGCTGGGGGCCCGATTTAACTTGAACCAGGAAGGGGTCTGGGACACAAGTTCCATAAACCAGTTTGACCCAAATGAGGTAAGCCCAATACTACATTCAACCAGCTTTGGTTTATCTTATACCAGTTTTGGCCATTTTGAAACTGGTTTATATGCACTGAACTTCTGTTCTGTTACAGCTTTAAACCAGTTTCTGATGACTTAAACTGGTTTATGTGCAACTTCTATCCCTAGCTCATGAGTACATACTTACTGGATTGGGTTTTAGTGTAACTATTTCTCTGTATCCTATTTTTTTAACAGGGAAAGGCAAGGTAATGGTGCTGCATGGGGGGGCTCTGCCATGCACCCCCATTCCACACCCACTCTCCCAGCCCTGTTGGTAGCTGCCCCACCCAGCCCCAATGTCCTGGCTCTTAAAAAAAAAAAAAAAACGGGGGGTGGGGGTGCGTGGGGGAAGCCTCGCAGCAGCTGTGGGCTTCTGGGAGCTCATGGCAGAGCTGCCCACACAGCATGGGGCAGCAGGGATCACTACCCCCTCTCCGGCCAGGCAGGAGCCTGAGTATGGGGGGTTTTTTTTTGTTTTTTGGGTTTTTTTTTTTATAAGAGCTGGGACTCTGGGATCAGGTAGGGCAGCCATTGATGGGGCTGGGAGAGCAGGCAGGGGTTGGGGCCTGTTAAATTCTGAGATTCAGCCAAATTGAATCAGATTCGGCCGAATTGATTCAGGACAGTGATTCGAATTGCCAAATCGAATCACTGTCCCCCCCAAATTGGCCGAATCCAAATCCAAAGCGAATACTAGCCTCTTCGTACAGACCTAATATATAGTCTAGTATTTTCTTAATCTGTTTCACTATGTAGTGCAGTTCTGGAACACAGATGTTCAGAAACAGCCTGTAGGCAGTCTCCTCTTTCAGGAATTTCAGTCAAAACATCACTGCTTAGTTCCTAAAGTTGAATTCTCCTCCAAGAATTGACATTACTTATAAAGATTAGGGCAGACAGCCAACTTACTGCTTTCTGCAGCTCCCCAAACAAGTAATTATATCATAAAACTAACAATAATGCAAGGCTCTAAGGGCTGGACCTACACTCCAGCTTGCTGGACTCAGGCACACATGGAGTGTGAGTGGGTAGACTTCTTTATGGTGGCCTTGCTCTAGGCAGGGAAGCACCATAGGCATGGTCACAGATATTGGAGAATTGTCCTCGAGCTTTGTATTTACTAAACATTTAGTAAAGATGTTAGTACAAGATAGTATCTAACTAAAATTTGGAATATGTGCAAAACCAAGGTAAATAATTAGTGAGCCACTTGTAATGTAACTAAGTAGTATTTTGTGTTATGTAACTACAATTAGAAGCAGTAATTTTCACTAGTGCTTGTAAGTCTGCAGATCCAGTTTAAAAATTTCTGTGCTTCTGTGTTCAGAAAGTATCAGTTTAATTTGAGTACAGTATCTGTATCTTTCTTAATCTTTATCAACTGACTTGATCATGTTGCCAAAAGCTTGCACTAGAGGACCCTTTCAAGGGATAAACTGGGATAATTGAAAATCAACTATAATAGAAGAGATGGTATGTATTGAATTACAAAATCATTAAAGCCTTGAAGTTGCAAAAAGGCCAGTTCTCTAATTCCATCATTGCCACCAATAGCTGACAAAATGGATTAGTGGGTAGGTTTGAGCAAGGAAAATGCCTGATCTTGAAATAAGTTCATATGTTACCAACATCTATTGTATAATAAAGTTAGTTTATTCCAGTCTTCTGTTCAGATGTGATACAAAATTGTAACTATCTTGAGTTTTGTAATGAGGCAGAAAACATGAATTCCCTAGCTGATTTCTTTTTTGTAGCTTGTTAAATTATTGTGATTTGAAAAAGCCCCCTTTCATAGAGACCCTTTAAAGAATTTGTTGAAACTGGTTTAGTGGCTGCAATATAAAATATTAGGAAAGTGAACTATTCCTTCCCAATCAACTTTGTGCTTTACATCTGTAGCAACAATCACTAATATGTACAGAGTGTGGCACAGCCACTGTAAATCCATATGGCAAGTTGTGTTAGATGCTCTTTCATCTGCTACAGAGGTTCACAAGACACACTCTTCTTAGTTGCCTTGCAAAGGAAGGATTGTTGTCTTACAAAGCTGAATTTGTAATGGAAGAATTACCAATGTGATCTTGCAGTGAAGTTGACAAGTGTTCAGAAATTCAGCCTCTGGCATGTCACGTTATCTAGTTTGAGTAAAATGAACATTTTGTTATTAAGGCAGCTGTTACTTTGAGTGGTGTATAATCTCTTAGATAGCTAGTATTTAAGTTTCCAAAATAGGACAGACCTTTTGGGATAAAATGAGACAGTAAAGGTCTGGTAGCTTTCACGCTTCCAGTAAAAGCCCATTACCAAATTATTTTCTAATTATTAATGCATAATTGTGACATACTGCAATTGCCATATATCTTTTATTTTAAATATTGGGTGAAAAAGCCCACTGATTATTTTCAATGCCCATGTGGTAGCAAAAGCAGAAAGTCCGGAAGTGAACTCTCAATTCACGATTTCACACAAATTGTGAAATCTGCAATGTCCACAAAATATGAAAATAAAAAAAAAAATAAAATGCTGGCTCCCCAGTGGTAGCCAGTAGTCCTCATGGCTGCTGCAGCCCAGCTGTGCAGCCCACTAGGGGGAAAATGGGATGGGGACTGCTAGCACAAAGGGGAGTGACCAAGATGGGTGTTGTGCCCTCTCCCCTACTCCTCACCACTGATTGGCTGAGAGGGCTGCCTGTCATGTGGCTTTGCCTCTGTCTACTAATCAGTGGTGAGGGAGCACATAATGGACAGCCCTTTGAACTAATCAGTGGTAAGGGGCAGGAACACCAGGGCCTGTAAGCTAATCAGAGGTGTGGGGGTCTCTCTTGCACTAACCCATGAAAATGGGGGCTGGCCCCATGATCTGCCCGTGAAATTGGGTGCCCGCCTCCTTCATTTTGATAGGTTCCTGTATATTGTATATAGCTTTTAAATTTTTCAAATGTTTTGCAGATATAAAGAGTTACCTGTAGCCTGTCAATCTTACAGTGCACCTCTTCAGTAATTTTATTCTTGTTCAAAAGCCAGAGAGGTCAAAACATAGGTGTATTCTTCAGATCTAATCCTAGGGTTATTATTCCACTTACTAACACATAGCATAGAAATCAGTAGTCTATTTTAAAGGGGAATGGAAGTGGGGAACAATAACTCGCTGTCCTACTAATCTAGTTAGTGTTCATATAGGCACTACATATAGGCAAATGCATAACTAAATATTGCGTAAACTATTTTTGTATTTCTAGAAATACTTCTTTCATTTATCAGACAAAACTTGTCAACTGTTAACTGAATATTAATTAATCTAAAATTTTAAACAATCAGCCTACCATGTTTCTCCATTACTTGTTAAGAGAAAAGGCTGATTGAACACCTTGACTTTGAACGAGGTCTTGATGATCCACAAATGAGGACTTGGCTTGACCAATGAGCGAAGTGAATTTCAAGATTTCATTTTTAAATGCAAAAATGGTTGGTAGAAAGAGGAGATCAGTCATTGTTCTTTATCCACAGGGACAAGACCAGATGTGATGAAGTTAAATTGTAACAAGGGAGGTTAAGCTTTGGAACAGGAGGTTGTGGAATCTCCCTCCATAGGAATTTCTTAGTACAGATTACACTAACATTTGTTTGAGAAGTTTTAGAAAAGAAAGATCCTGTTTTAAGCAGGGTATTAGATCAGGTTACCTCTTGTGGTCTTTTCCAGCTCCATTTTCAGTATGATTGAGCACCACCTTTTATTTCAGTATGTTGTTTGGGGATGAATATCCATCCATCTACCAGGTCGCAGGACTTGAGCGCAGAGTCTCTTCGCTCCTGTGTCAATTAGTGTGGCTTCTAGTATACTGCAATCTGTTCCCAACTTTCACAAACATCATGTTCCTATTTTTTTCCAAGAGCAAGTATCTTTTCCTTTAAGAACACTGAATACTGAATATTTTCTCTATAGAAGCAATACAGAAAACTTGCAAACGATGTATGGAATTAAATATTCCTCTACACTGCTCAAAGAGTAAATAGTATATGTTGTGCTGTTTGCTATAATAGTCACCTGTCATAGGCAGAAAAATCACCCAGCCCAGAAAAGAGCAAAAATTTACACAAACTTAAAAGCAAATGCTTTTTCACTATTCACACTCATAATGAGCAAACTAACTAGAATCCACTATGGAAAAGCTCCTTTTTAAAAGATTCTTTTAAACTTTCTTAATTTTCTATGTTTTTTAACACTTGTCCTTCATGTTATTTTGGGGATAATAAATGGTGTTTATTCACCTGATATAATTAGTACAATGTTGGTTTGTTTGTGCTAGAGACCAAAAAATGGTAACAAAGAATCATTGGATAGATTCCATGTCAGGGAAATAGCTAGATGCTGTAGTCTACAGGTCATATAAGGAATACAGTGCTTTCACTTTGTCAGTAGTCTCATAGTTTGCCTTTCAGAATGGAGCTATCCAGCTTTCTAGTATCATGTTGGTGCATACCTGTTGAAAGTGAAGTTCTGGTCTGAAAATGCAGAAATGCCATTGTGTAGGGTTCATGCATGTACCCCCATGATTTTGAGACAATATTTGTGCAGTTGAAAAGTCACAAAGTGTGGAACTACACCTTTTAATATCTTCAGTATCCAAATTTCAAGTTGGTCATGTAGAGACAGAAGAGGACATCTTTTCAGAAGGAACTCGTGATTTTGGATTCTGCAGCTGGGTGCCAACTTGAGACTTCTCACAGGCCTGATTTCCAGATAGGGCTGGGCACCAATCTTCTGACCATCATGCCATTTTTCACAATGCCCTTTAAGAGTAAAACTGTTTTAAGGATCTTTTTAAGGAATCCGTTCTTTACCAGCCACATAGCTAGGTATTGTCTTTTTCATGTTAAGGAAGCATCACAAGATGTCTTTACATTAGATTTGTCCCTCGGCCACCAGCTAAATTAATCTGATGGACACTTAACTATTGCATCAGCGTTGCTCCCCAGATTTCTGCCTTCACCTGGAAAAAGCAGAGCTTGCTCCAGAGCTATCCCTGAGGACTTGGCTTGCAAGAGTATCTTCTGCCAGCAGTTCAGTTACAGTATGGTAGGGAGATGAAATGTTAAGAGGCCTTGAGGAAAAAGTGTTAAATCTCATTGCCTAGTGAGTTCTTCCCAATGGCTTTTTTTTAAGAATCAGCAGCAGGCCCAGAGGTAACACCAGAGGGCTTTCACAGTCAGCATCTTGCCCCACAGATCATTTCCAGCTTTGAAGATTATAAAGCGCTGTATGAAGGCTACATATGATCTGTAATGAGTAGCAGAAGTGGATGCAGGGAGCTTTTGATTTAAATAACTTGGAATATAGGGAAAATACAGAATCAGTCTTTCAGATCTGCTCTGGTAGGATCTGTACATCTGTGCAACACTTAAGTTTCTTGGGGCCAGGGTTTGCTTTAATAATTCACAACTTGTGCTCGGCAACCTGATTTTCCAAGATAAATATGAATATGTAATATTTAGAGAGACTGGATACCCAGTCAAATTTAGTGGGAGAAAATGATGAAGCAGAATCAGTCTGGCTTGAAGTTGTCCCAGAATTTGGTCAGCTGTTTGTATACAAGCTCCTTAGAAAAGGATTGTATTTAAAAAATGTCATTTCAAGGAGTAAAGATTAAGGTTTTCCCGTACATTTTAATGAAATCTCCTGGTTTTAGTTCATAATCCTATAAAACAGAAGTGTTCTAGCTGATGGTGCTAGCTACTTAGGATATTAATATGTGTCCAGCTCTGTAAAATATGCATTTATCAAGGGTGCATCTTTCAGTTAAAACCTATCAGCTGAAGAAAGGGGGGAGAACATGCTGAAGCTATTGACTGGTGGTTGATAAGGGCACAAGTTGAATACCCTTTTTTCTCAAACCACTGCTTTTCCTGGGATCAATAGCTTTAGGCAGGCTAGTGGTGAAAGTGCCATTAAGATATTATGAGCTGGGTAAAATTCAATTCTGTACTTTTCCCCTCCACATCACCCTTTTGTAAGCCTCCCACAGATGGCCTGCTCTTCTAGTGACTGAATTCAGTGCAGGGAGAGGAGCCAGAAGGAAATTAGCCCTTCCTGCCTGTCACTACATAGAAGGCACTGTTTGCAGAAATCGCTGTTTCAGCAAAATAAACAACAGGATAAACCAGCACAGGCAGAACAGGAGGACTTTCCAAAATGTTTGTGAATAGGAGGAGGCTGCAGGTGATGAAATATTGCGTGAGTTTACTCTGTCAAGTTGTCTTACTCATTAGAAAGGCTGGCCTGACATGAAGGGCAAACCAGAAGTGTTGATGGCTTTTTAACAGCTAGCTGCAAAGATCTGAGTACCTGGAAGTGATCTCCCTGCTTCTTGCACTGTGCCCTATCCATTCAGTCTGTTGCCATCATAGACAGTATATCAGTTAGGTTTTTGTAGCTGACAGAGAGAGATGTGTTTTTCCCTCCTGCTTGTAGCCGTTCTGGTGTTAATAGATCAGCTTCCCAAATCAAATAATGCGTGAAAGGGGGTACTACCTCTGTCATCTTTCTGCCTGTTGTATTCAACATGTTTGTATCAAAATCTTGGGGTTTCCCATATCATCTTTCATTTTGGTTATTATAGGGAAGAATTACTAGACAAGATACTTTCCCTGGCTGGTGAGCAGAACTGACTGCCAGAAAGAAGAAAAATAGATTTGTGCTGTGGCCCTTTAAAAAAATTTAAATGACAGCCTGCGGTGGCTGAGAAGGGCAGGTATGTCTTTCAAAACTAATACCACATCTTACAAATAGCTTCCATAACTGTGAATCTTTCACAAGCAGAGTAAAGCAGGCCCCTTTTGACTGAATTGGAGGTTTTGCAATATAAAGGCTTCATAGCTTTGCATTCTTCCTTTCACATTTACTTTCTATTTGTGCTTTGTAGATGATGATACTTCTCAATTTGCAAAACCAAGATTTATTTTTTTTACATGAAAAGTGAAATATAGTGCACATATTTTTCAGCAAACTCCTCTCCCTTTCTCTCTCCCTCCCTCCCTCCATATGTATTAGGGAAGAGAAGGGTTTGTTGAAAAATAACTGAACTGTATTTCATTTTTCATGTAAAAAAAACAACAAAACAAACCTTGGTTTTACAAATTGAGAACGAATACTGACATTGTAGCACATAAATATATATACATTAAAGAAAGAAACAAATCTGAGAAGTGTTGTGCTGCAGATTTCGGGCAGTTCTATACAAATATTTTCTAGCATTTTAGGAGTATGTTGCCATCAGGTTAACTGAATATGGCCTGAACACAGAACTGTATTCATATTTTCTCCTTTTTTATAATCATTGGTAGTCTGGGATAGGCTGTTTGCATTTTTGAGCCCATTTTCCTCCATACAATTTTGTCAGATTTCTTTTCTTTCATAGGTAAATGTTATATGCTATGGCAAGTAAGAACCATCAACTTTTTCTTCAGCTATTGCCTTTAGACATTAATCTTCTATGTGGTGGTGGCTTTTTTATTTTTCTGTGAGCTTATTTTTCAATCAATAGTGATTTTCCATTCTGTTTTGGGTTTTGCAAATTTCCTGTTTCACATTGTAATATTTAACTCCATCTACCCCTAGTTTTTTATAGCACATAATAATAGATGATGATAACAGTGGCAATTACAGCTAATGGTCTGCTTCTCAGCCTTGCTGAGTATTCATTGCTCCTATTGAAGTGAGTCAGAAATGCTCACTTGCACACCTCTTAAAAAAACAGCTTATACTTTTTTAACATCAAATTTTACATTTATCATATTCACTGCACCTTTCCTGTGTCTCAGAAAACGCTTTCATATGTTCCTCCACACAATCACCACTGAGGTGTTTGGTTTTTTTTGGTGTTTTTTAACTAGAGATACCTGCTAATTGGCCGTATGTCATTTTTACATTTTTCTAACTTACATTAAAAATGATAAAAACAAATGTATTTTCAATTCTTCTGACTTAACTAGGTGGCTGAAGCTGATTTATACCAAATTTAAAATATTCGGGATGTTACTGATTTGTTTTAACCAAATTAAAAAGAAAAAAAGAGAGGCTTTTGTGCTTCTTGTGATGTGTGGTTTCTTTGTTTTCTTAAACAAACATTCCCAACTTTAGAACTGAAAGCTATTTCACTGGAAAAAAAACAGACTGACATCAAAATGTGTTAATGGTACATTATCAACATTTTGGAAAAGAGCTGAATTTTGAAGAAACAAGTCATTAAAATAGAAAAATGATTATGAATAACTGAGTTGTAGCTGATTTATTTTACATTCTGAAAAAAATGCATTGTATTCCAGGCATGTACTAACAAACTGTTTACCTAGGCACAAACTTTTGGGTTTTTCTGCTGGAAATTGTACTTGTCCCTCTGCTCTGCCACACCCCCATCCCTCAAACTTACGCATGAGAGACTGTCACGGGGGGGACGGACGGACTCTGACTGTCTTGTCTTCTCTGATCAGATCAATAACAACATTTTATCATAGTGTAATAGCTTTTGTGCTGTAGGCATCTCATCGCTAGCAACTGGGCTGAAACTGTTACTTAATCTTCATAGGATACTGAACACCAGTCAGAAAACTTTCAGTCTGCTTCAGCCTGGATCACATTCAAAACAGTGCTCTAGCAGTTAACCCAGATGTGCTGCTTGATATGGCATTGCAGTGACTTCCCCCACAGGACTGTTCCGCTCCTTTCTTGTGTCAAGGCTAATTTTTCAACAGCATCTTTTAGCTGAAAGTAGTGATGGATACAGGCAAGCTGAGGCCATGTCTGTATTAGAAAGGGTCGTCAATAAGGCTAAATTGGCAAATGCTCCTAGTGTAAATACATGTGTTTTTAAGAATGCCTTATCATGCACAAAGCAAGGATTTTTGTGGGATGATATCTTTTATTGTACCAACTGTACAGCTGGGAGAGAGGTAGATGGGCTTTTGGGGTATGAAATAACCTTTCTCAGTCTTTCATGACTTTTTGTACCTATATGTTGTACAGGAGGACACCTGACACTGAGAGGAAAAAAAAATCGCACACCAAAATGACATTACTGAAACACTGAGTGTTTCACCTGTGGAGGAGACAGAAGTTCATCAGAACATCACAACATGGCTCCCCTATGGTCCTACCTCCCAGTTGGTATGCAGGTAGCTGGCTGTACCCTTTTTCTTCTCGGCGATAGCAGTGGGAACTTGGTACCTCTAGGAGTAGTATTGTTTCCTCTCTCCTTTACAGACAGTTTCCACAATACTTACTGCAGGAGTTGGGATTTATCTGCAACAATGGGTAGACAGGGGCTGTTGCACTCTGGCCTTTCTGCTCAAATCTACTAGTGATCTGGTGCTGGCTGCCAGAGTAGCTGATCATGAATTTACCCCTTAGTGAAATACATGGGATACTTCTCCCCTCTTAGCTGTTGTGTCAGGTGGTTGCAGACTCAGGCTGTATCATTTATCCTTGTCTCATGTTTTCAAGGTTTTCTTCATAACCTTGAGGATTCATTTATTTCAGTAAAAGCTGGAATTCTGATATCATATCACACTTCCTGCAGAGCATTTAAGGAAGGGTGGGTGGCCTGCTGCCCTGAGAACAGGTTTCAATCATTGATCCCCTTGTGTCACTGCTCAGTCACTAGCTTGGCTATCAAGTTGTTTAATGATCTGTAATAATACTGCATCTGGGCTAGCTGTTTTATATAATTCGCAAGTGGGCATGCTGTCCCTCTGGATTTATCTGACACATGGTTTTCAGTTTTCCTAATGACTTTTTCATAGGTTGTCAATTAGTTATATAGTTTAAGTGAAACATGCAGAGAGGGATTGCTAAACTCCAGTTATTCACCTTCAGAACATGAAATGAATCATTCTGGTTCTTTGTCTCATAGCTGTATTTTCTATTTGGTATCTCTGCCTATTTTAAAAATGCTGTATATGACACTGAAGGAGGATTTAGAAGTGGAAGAAGAATTAATCCTACAACACTCTTTAAGGACCTTTGCAAACTGAGCATAAGAATCAATGAGCATCAGTTTTTCACAGAAACTGAAGTGTAGAAGACATTGGAGGGGGGAAGTAGGTTACGGAAATATTTCAGCTTTATTTTGATGTATAGCTTTGAGTGACCTCTTTCCCACTGTAGCTTGCAGGCTTTTAGTTTGCTTAGCTATTGTATATAGTAGGGAGCTTCCTGCAGGATATGCATGGATTTGAACGCAGGCAGCATTGTACAAACACTTGACCAAAGCCAGAAACAAAAATACCCGTTGCTTTTACAAGATCAGCTTTAAGGACACCTAAGATTTGTTTTTTGTATTGTTTTTAACCACAGAAGCTCCTTTCTCCTCTTGTTTTGGTTTAGGCAGGCTAGTGCTGGAAGTTCCACTAAGATGTTGTGACCTGGGTCAAGTTCAATTCTTTACTCTTGTACAGAGTTCAGTTCTGTACTAACTCTCCATTTACTCCTTAGCTAAGTTCCCAGCATGAGATGGATTATTTGGTTTCATGACGTTTTCTAATGGCAACTTTCAAAACCATTGGGGTTTTATCCATTCAAGTTAATGTGTTGATTCTCTGTTACTCTTGCCATGTACGATAATTTACACCAGCATAAAGTGAGTGTAAATTATAAACAAGATAATGGTAGTATTTTACACTCTTCTTGCATTCAGTTTGCACTGATGCAGAGCACTGTACAAGGCACAGGGCAACAGAGGATCAGTCTGTTTCATATGGGACAGTGGCTCTCAACTTTTTTAGATTTGAGGCACCTCTCGAAAAATGCCAGCTCTTAATTTTCACTTCAGAAAAATAATAGATCAATTCTGGTACTGCAAAGAACTCAGAAAGACCACAGCAGGTCAGAAATGTTTTTGACAGTATGGATTCCTTTTTGAAATCTGTGACTTTTATCTTCTGAATTGCATTTGCCCTCTTAACAGTGCTAACATTGCACAGCATTACATAACCTGCATGAAAGGTTCTCAAGGCACCTCAGAGTGCCCGAGCACCCTTGTTGAGCATCACTGATATAGGGATTGTTTTGTGTGAGTGAGTCAAGGACTGAATGCACAGATTTCATTTGAAAGGGAAGTTAATAATGCTACCAGTCTTCATGTTGACTGTGCATTTGTTAAGTATTTGAGCCTGCCTCTGATCTTTGTGCAAGAGAAAAGAATGTATTGGGAAATCAGATCAATAAGACTATTCATACAAAGCTCATAATACTAACACTTTGGATGCCATTAAGCTGCTGTTTCCATGTCCTTGTCATTTGAAACTACTGAATGCACTTTTCAAAACTTAAATTACACAAGCCAATTGAAAAAAAGGATTTCAGTCATTACAAGGAAGAATTGCTGATGTTAGTTGATTTCAGAGCTCTTTTTCTTGAGCTAGGGACAGACGTTTGGGGAGGTTAGGGGGAAGATAGATCGCATTAAAAATGGCCACCTGATCCAACTTCAGTTCACCCAGGTGCTGACCTTGCACTTGGATCCCTAGTTAGGTCAACTTCATGTACAGAAGTTTAGGAAAGTGAGATTGGTCTACAAATGGCCAACCCCATCTAATTTATCTCTACCTTAGAGGTAGTCTCACTTAGATCCAGTCCAGCAAAACTGATCTACCTGAACTTCTGTACAGTTTTCACTGCAGCTACAGGGCTGGGAAAGCCCAGCCACTAGCCCCAGCTCCAGTCCCAGGGCTGCGCTTTTCCTAGTCCCCAGCACCATGCTATTTTTAGCCTTCCGGCCTCTTACCCCACCTTTTGTGGCCAGGTGGATGTTCAGGTAATCTGCTTTTCAGGTGCAAACAGGTGTGCAGACTAATTAGTTCATAGCAGTTTCAGTCACCTAAAGTCAGAGGGTAAGGCTGATATTAAATGCATTGTTAATTATCATCATATAATGCATAAACAGTATGATGATTCATATTCTCTCTTCTTTTTCAGATTTCTCAGGGGACACCATTTCACTTATTCTCACCTCCTACTGTGGCAAAAATGGACTATTTTCCTCACCGAAAACCAGCAGCATAATGCCCATCTGATACATGCCTCAAAGAAATCTTATTTAAAGTCTGTTGAAAGTAAGTCAGATGAACAACTTGCTTAAAGACCGTTTTAATCACTGTATAGCTATTTATGGCTGAAGAGTAAGCAGCCTTAACAAGAGAACTAATTTTAGCTGTCTGGCTTTAGCAGCTGCTGTTTGTTCTTAAAAGTATTGGAAGAAATAACTAGCTGTAAAGGAATGATTGAAGTTAAGTTGCTCACTGGCTAACTGGTGCCAATGCATGTCACACGTTGGTTTTTTTTGTGCCTTATTTATCTCATTAGAAGTTCACTGCAATAGACTGTAAATCAGCAAATCAGTTGTTGTGAGTGAGCAACATGAACTAAAAGATTATCTGCATTGTAAATGAAGCTTTAAATTTCGGTTGCTATGACAATTAATGTTAGAATTGACAATGTAGAAGCAGGGATCACAATACCATTTGTTGTTTCCAGTATTGTGGGTTGAATGACTTTGTCTCTGCTTTTGTTGTTTTGATAGCTGAAACAGCCTGCAGTTTCTTGTGACGCAAGGCTAAATCTAAGTATTCATCTCTTCAAGTTAGATTTTTAAAAATGCAGTAGCACTTTAACAATTCAATGATGATACATACATATCTAGAAGCTTCTTCCTACCAAGTTCAGAACTGAAATGCATGTGTGTTTTGAGAATCCTGTAACATGCACATGAAAGAAAGAAAGCATTAGGGATCGCTAAGGTCATTGGTGTAGTCAGAATCATGTCTTCATCTGAACAGGAGAGGATAATGGTGGGAATAATACATTTTAATATTATGAAGTAATTTGCTTCCTGTAATACCCAGAAAAGTTTCTAAATCACATGGGTGTAGAAAAACGAAGGGAAAAGGTATGTTATGATCATTGTGCTTATAATTTGTTCTGCCAAAAATCCCTTCTAGCATGAGTCACAACTTCTGATTTATTTAACATGTTACTTGAACAGTTCAATAGCAAGGACAGATGTGTTGCCTTGAGTTAAAATTTGGAATTCAAAGTACTCTACTTGCAGCACAATGCAGTGCTGCGCACTTATGAAGTCACAATATTGGAATGAAGCCTGAGGGTGCACAAGAGCTATCCCAAACACATGCCCATCTGGCCTCTTTTGAAAACCTCCAGTAAGATTCCACAATTTCCCTAGTCAATTGATTGCACTGTCCTACTGTTCCTACATCTCCAGAAACTAATGCCCCCCCCCCCCCCCTTCCTTTCTAACTTTTAACATACAGACTTTGAGCTGCTGCCAAACTTTAGTTTCATGTATGTACTCTGTTTCAGGGGTTCTCTATGCAGTTTCTTACAGTAAATTGGTATGATCTCTTCTGCTTCTCCTGTCTACCAGGTTTGACTACAGGTTCTTTAATGACATTCACCTCCAGTAAAGTCTAATAAAATCCTTTGGAAAATTCCAATTGGTTTTCATTTAACTTTGGATAAGGCTTGTACCTGTTGCTTTCGCACAGAGCAGGGTATTCCAGGTCGGATCTAAAAATGTTGGCAGAAAATCATCTAAAAGCTCAGCTTGCAAAGCCTCTTCCTTCTCTTTATTAATCTTTTGACCCTCTTTTTCTCTACTTATTTCCATTTGTCTGCTATCTTCATTTTTTCTTGAGTAGATCCTATTCATATGAAAATTGCAGAGTTTCATGCAAAGGTTTGATTATGTATAACTGTAGTATGAATAATATCCTATCTGTTAGCTTGGTGGTTGATTTGGTGCTTGCAAGTATTTTAGCAACACCTTGAGAGAATTCAGGTGTTGCCTGTTTGTCAGGGTATTCAGCTCCTCAAAAGATTTCTGAAAATATTTCTTCAGCAGCAAGTGAAAAGTTTAGGTGAGTTTGTCTTTTATTCTCTAGCTCCTTTAATACCACGTTATCTCTTAAATCCCCCTACTACTCCACAGTTGTGTACCTTAGTCATTAACCTCTAATGTGCCTTTTTTCTGACAAGTTTCCTGCCCAAAGAAAATTCAGCAATCTTTTTATCTCTCTTACTAGTTTTATCAAAGAGCTCAAGCAGGTTAGAAAATAATAGGTGATTAAGAACCAACAGAGGTTCAAAAAGCCAAAGAGCAGTTTTATTTTAAATGATCCCAAAATGATCTTTTAAAATAGATGATAACTCTTTCTTAGATAAAGATAATTGGGCTGAATTTTTGTGCTCGAC